CAGATCTGGGGCTGGCACTGTGGCTCAGTAGGTTAATCCTCCGTCTGCAGTGCCGGCATCCCATGTGGGTGCAGGTTCTAGTTGTGGCCGCTCCTCTTCCAGCTCTCTGGTACGGCCTGGGAAAACAGTAGAAGATAATCCAGATGCTTGGGCCCCAGCATCCTCGTGGGAGACCTGGAAGAAGCTCCTGGCTCCTGGCTTCCGATCGGCTCAGCTCTGGCCGTTGCGGCCATTTGGGGAGTGAACCAGCGGATGGACGGCCTTTCTCTCTGTCTCTCCCTTTCATTGTCTATAACCCTACCTCTCAAATAAATAAAATCTTAAAAAAAATTAAAAAGCTCTGTTGGCTCTAATACAGAGCAATGGATCACAATCTCTGGGCCACAGTCTGGGAAACTGCATTTTAAATAAGTGTTCACACTGTATTTAGGGAACTTCACTGTGGAATGTGGCAACTATATAAAGTAATCGAATAATAATGAGAACATGTTCTCCAGCAGTCTACAATCAACCTTGATTTTATCAATATCCCTACCTCTTCTCCCTACTTCTCACCTTCCAGAATTATTTTGAAGCAAAGCTCAGATATAATTGTCTGTTAACATTTCAGCACATCTCTCTGAAAGACAAGGACTTACAAAGAAACACAACCACAAACCAAGACTTTTATAAATCCTGTATTTTGGGCCGGTGCCGCGGCTCACTAGGCTAATCCTCCGCCTAGCGGCGCCCGCACACCGGGTTCTAGTCCCGGTCGGGGCGCCGGATTCTGTCCCGGTTGCCCCTCTTCCAGTCCAGCTCTCTGCCGTGGCCAGGGAGTGCAGTGGAGGATGGCCCAGGTGCTTGGGCCCTGCACCCCATGGGAGACCAGGAAAAGCACCTGGTTCCTGGCTCCTGCCATCGGATCAGCGCGGTGCGCCGGTGGCAGCGCGCCGGCCGCGGCGGCCATTGGAGGGTGAACCAACGGCAAAGGAAGACCTTTCTCTCTGTCTCTCTCTCTCACTGTCCACTCTGCCTGTCAAAAAAAAAAAAAAAAAAAAAAAAAAAAAGAAAAAGAAAAAAAAGAAATCCTGTATTTTAAACTGTTCAAATTGTCTCATATTTTCAAGTGTTTGTTCAAATCAGGGTGCAAGTAAGGTCTTACTCTTGGTTGCTGGTTCTCTTACACCTCTTGAGGGCTAGCCACTGTGATCAACAGGTTGAAGCTTCTTTCATTCAGGGCAGCTGCTGACTGAACGTCAGACTAGAAGAATCCTGGGCTCTGGGCCTCATTGTAGGGCCACTTCTGATTACTTCAAAGGAGAAGACACAGAGCTCTGCCTACACAAGAACAATTTCTAAAGACTCCTGGGAAGATCGTAAACCATGGAAAGGAAAGAATTACAAACATACTGTTACAAAGAAGAGTACAGAAGTGCTCCTGGAAGGGTGTAGGAACAGTCAGTGAATGACTTGTTCCCATGTGGTTGGGAACAATATGAAAAGCAGTAATTTGGGTTGTTGATCAGATCTTGCCGCTTCAGGTAAGCATCGTGTGTGAAAGTGGCCTGCACAGTATCTGACGTGTGACAACCAAACTGGTTTCCACATCCTCTCCCAAACCTTGTATCCATGATTTCCTCCATGCAAAGGAATATCAAACAGATGCAAATCTTCAAAAGAGAAAGATGCACTTGTTAAGTGACCAACTTTCTTTGCACTTGGTTAATCATGGTAACTGCGATAGTTATCACTTACTGGTGCAATACCATATATTTGGTCATGGCAAGGGTGGAACACAGAAGAGACCAATGGTTACTGAGTGAGTGAATGAATGAGACTGAATACTTTATATTAACTTTGGGAGTGACTGCTGCCACTTTGCCATGGAGTTTTTAGTGTCTCTGTTTTATAACTCACAGTAAGAGCTAGGACTTACTGAGTTTTTACTATAAATTATTCATCCGTTCAAAGTGTTTTATGTATATTATCTTACTGATCAGTACATCAGCTCTATGAGTTATGCACTGTGATCCCCATTTACACAGGCAGAGCTGAAGTAACTTTTTTTTTTTTTATAAAAAAGATGTTATTTATTTATTTGAGAGGTAGAGTTACAGACAGTAACTAAATAGCCATATAGCCTGGACTGGGCCTATGGAAGACAGAAGCCAGGAGCTTCTTCCAGGTCTCCCACATGGGTGCAGGGCCCAAGGACTTGGGCCACCTTCCACTGCTTTCCCAGGCCATAGCAGAGAGCTGGATCGGAAGTGCAGCAGCTGGGACTCAACCAGCACTCATATGGGATGCCAGCACCGCAGGTGAAGGATTAATCTACTGCACCACAGCACTGGCCCCAGAGTTGAAGTAACTTAACCAAAAACACAGTTTATAAATTATGGGACTTGAGACAATCCTACATGCCCAAAGTGGTTAGTGAAAGTACTGGGAAAAAAAAAAAAAAGGCTAGTACCAGTAGTCCCAATAACATGTGATTAGCAAGAACAAGTTCAAAAAGGCAAGTTGAGAAGTCTTTTCCGTTTATTCCAGATCACACACCCTCTCCACTGCACCCACCTTCACACCTCTCCCCGTTACCCAACCCCAAAATCGCCCCTTCCTTTCTCTGAGGACGCAATTGCTAAGCCAGCTACATAAAGAAACCAGAAATCAAAGGATGGTCTTATGAGCATACTAACTTAATTCCTTCATTCACTCTTCAAACATCTATTCAGCACAGCCACATGAAAACACTGCTAACAGGCTAGTGCATCCACTCTGCTGGGAAATCGGCAATCCTGAAGCTTCCTGAAGATGGGTGGTAGGAGTGCTACATTTGGTACATTCTCCCACCTCTTCCTCAGGAACTCTTCTACTTCTTGCAGGAGGAGGAGCAGCAACCAGAGAACGAAGAAAAAGCATTGTGCACTGACTGAGCTAGACTGACACCTGGGGAGATGGGTCAGAAACTTGGGAGCGCTTGGAACTCAGTCCTCCAGGAAGGATCATGGGTAGGCTTTCTAGGTAGCGAATAGATAGAATTTGCAGGGCCAGGAGCTCCGAATTGTCTGGTTGGGCAGACCTAGGTCCAGGCTACAACTTGAGCAGGTTTCCGTGCAAACACCTTTTAAGATGAACGCATCATAAAGGTGGCAGCTGCTGATCCAATACTCTTTCTGCCTCTGCTCAGAGCAGTTGGTGCCACAGAGGCATCTCCTGCGCTATAGTTATGCAACCTCACTCGCAGCGGGAGTTATTTCCTGTGCTTCTGGCTGCGCCAGAACTCATGTAACACGCCTACCCTGGGCTTCAATGGAAGTCGTTCTCCATTAACAACCATTCCAGCTTTGGAAGATGAATGCCCTGCACAGCAAACCCCTTGCGCAGTAAGAATCCAGGCACTGGGAATTAAAACACACACACACACACACACACACACACACACGTTGTGCACGCAGCTAGGGGACAGCAGCAGTGCAACCAGAGGGACAGCAGGCGGAGCTCTTTTTGCACAGTCCCTGCCGGTAAAACCCCCCACTAACTAAAGATGAACTCTTGCCAGCTCCATTCTTTGCAAGGAAGGCGCACACACACACACACACACACACACAGAGCAGAAGAGGGCCCTCTAGAATTTCCTCCCGGAACACACTGTCTTTCCAGTCCGCTCGATCCAGCCACCCGGAGAGTGCAAGCCGAGTAACGGGGAGCAAGCAGCGCGCTGCAACAATGCGCCCTCGCTCGCAGCTCCCCTCGCGGCTCCCACCCCCGCCCCCTCCGCGGCGTGCCAAGAGTTTGGAGCGCGCGCACGCACACTGAGCGCGGCGCATGGCGTATCCCTCCGCCTCCCTCCTCCTCCTCCTCCTCCTCCTCCTCTCCCCGCCCGAGCGGCTCGACAACGATTTGGGAAATGAAGGGAGGAGGGGACTACTTTCCTGAAACTTGCTATGCTGCACACGACTTCGAGTTGCAGTGATTCGCCCGCAGGCCGCAGCTTCTCAGTCCTCCCCTCCACACCTCCTCAGAGCCCAGGCTGCCCAGCTCGGCAGCCCCGCCCTGCGCCTGCTCTAGCCCCGCGGGAAGCCAGCGGCCGGGAGAAGTCGCGAGGGACTACTTCGCCTCCTTCTCCCGCGGGCGCCCCCGGTTCGGGCAGCGGCGGCGGCGGCGGCGGCGGAAGGAGCGGGCGGCGTGAGCGCTTCCGCCGCCCCCCTCGCGGCTCCCCTCTAGCGGGCGTGAGGTGCTGGCCCGCGGAGCCGCCGGTGGGCACGGGCTGGCGGGGGACCTGCGGCTGCTCCGCTCCCCTCCCGCTGCTCCTTGGCGCCTTGTCCCCCTTCCTCCCCGGCGCCCGCCCGCCGGCTCGCTCCTCTCTGGCCCGGGTGGGAGCCACCGGCCCGCCTGCCCCTCGCCTCCCGCTCCCCGCCACCCCTCCTCCCCCTCAGGAGGAGTCCCGGCTGGAGCGTGTCTGGAGGAATCCGCCGCCGTGGGGCCCCTCGCCCGTTTCTGTGCGTGCCTGATCAGCAGCGACCCAGGCGCCGCCGGGGTCTGAGCGGCAGCCCAGAGCGGCGAGGCGGGAGATGGTGGGGTGGGCTCCGGCGGGACCGCGCCGCCGCCCGCAGCCTGGGCTCGGTACCCCCCCGCCGGCCCCCACCGGGCGCAGCTCTTCTTCCTCCTCGCCGCATCCCTGAGGGAAGCGCCGCCTCTGCTCCCGGCTTCTCCGCCCGCCCGCCCGCTCCTTCCTGGCCGGACCCCGCGGCGCTCCACCCCGGCGGCCGGAGGAGCAGCTCTCCAGTCAGCCTTTGCAGTCCCCTTACCTTCTTTTTTTTTTTTTTTTCCCCCCACCCCTACCTCCCCTCCCCTGGCCGCCTCGGATCCTTCGGCTGGGCGCTGAGGCAGGGGAAGAGGCTGGGGTCGCCACGGAGAAGGTTGCTGCCGCCACCCCCCTGCGGGGGTGGCCGGGGTTCCCGGCTGGGGGGGCACCGTTCCGGGTGAGGCATCCACCATGGTGAGGCCCCTGAGCCGCTGCGCCCGCGCCCCCCCGGCCGCCGCTGCCTCCTGCCCCTCGGTGCTGCTGCTGCTGCCCCCCTGCCTGCTGTTGCTCCTCCATCTCCAGATCGGATCGCGTTGAGGGAAAGATGAGCGAGGAGACGGCGACTTCTGACAACGAGTAAGCGCCTCATTGATCTTGATTGCTAATCCCCCACTCCCCAGTCATTCGTCTGCACTGCCCCAGACCCCTCGAGACTCGGGCGCCCGAAAGCCTGCGCCCCTGGAGAGTTCGGTGCGTCTGCTTCTGGATGTAACTGATTTCTTGAGCCATTTTATTTCATGGCAGCAGCCCTCCGCTCTCCCTGCGTTAACTTGCTTTCTGTCGGGGAAGGGGATTCAGATTCAGTGTTGGGTTGGGATGGCAGTTGTACATCCCTGAGATGGAGTAAGCGGACGGATCGGGACAGTAGCAGTGACCCCTCCGCCTGGGAGACCCTTGGCCTGTCCTCTTTCGTTTTATCGTCAGCCAACATATCTTGAATATATCCATCGTGCTTCCTGTCTGGCTATTTCACTGGGAAACTGATGTGTGGGAGCACCTCCTGTAGCAAACTGCTCTTGAATCTTAATTCGATGAGTCAATGACTCTTAAATACCTATTAAGCCTTCACCCCACCCCCACTCCCCCTTTTAAACTTGTGACCTGTGAGATTCCTGTAAAAAAATGGGGTTAGGGAAACATTTTTGGACTTTAATAGGATTAAGGACTCCTGGGGTGTGGGGGATGTCGAGCTGTTATGTTTACTTTTGGGAATATTGGACGTGTCTTCATCAAGAACATTGAAGAATTTGGAGTTCTAATTTTTGTCCTTGGGTTGTGTTAAAATACTCCGGTTTCCGTTAATTGAACAGAATTTTACGTTGCTTAACATGTTGGTGACTTCATCAACTTCTAGAGCATTCTGGCTTAAGTTTTGCTTATTTTGGGATGTCCCCATGTTTTCCAAACTATTTGCCTTTTTAAACATTTGACTTTAACGTAACAGCTGCCTGGAGGAATAATGGTGTTGGGCACGGTTTTCTATGGAGAAGGGTTTTAATTCCGTGCAGGATGTTAGCATCCGTTTCCTTGTCATTCAGTTTAAGTTTTGTTTGTCTTTGGCGGGTTGGAAAGAGTTAAGTGAGTTCGGACTAGCCTTTAGGATGCATTCCTCTAAATAAAGTGCATTCCTCAAGTCAGACCTTTTTGAGAAAAAGCTTTAAAAGTCCAATGCCGAGGTCTGTCGTACATGCCAAGTAGCGTCTACCCCCAACCCCCAACCCCCAACCCGCTTTAAGAGCACAAGCTTCTGATGTGCGGGTGTAGAAGGAGGTAGATTGCTGCAGTGTCAGTGCAGCCTAGAAGCAGAAGTGGCCGCCATGTTCTCTCGCTTTTTGTGAATCGCCCTCATTTGCATAGCACAGTCTTCATTCATAAAAAAAATAATTAAACATCTATCACCTTGGACATCTTGAAAGAATTTCCCAAGGAAAAATTCGAAGCTTGTTTGTCTGTCTTCGTGTAGCTGTTTGAGTTCAGGAAATAAGGAGAATTTGAAGTTTCAGATTAAATTTAAAAAACATACGCACACATAAACAACTACCCCTGTTCTCAGAATGTTGACACGGTTATGTGGGAAATATCAGTTCGGGGAGGTGCTGGGATCACGTGATCGCCTCCATTCATAAAATACCTGGCTGTCCATTCACAGTGCAGTACACTGTCTCACTGCCTTCCGCAGATTAGACTTACTTTGAGGGAGATCAAGAAGTCTATCTAAGATAATACTTGGTTAAGAGAAAAGCTGCTGAAAATACTGAACGCAATGACAGTAACTTTTATTAATCTTGCATGCAAGTAGCTCAATTCAAAAATGTTAAGTTTTATTTTACAGATGAGAAGGGATTTATCAGTTTAGTTCCAAGTGTTGAATATTTCTTGTGGCTTCAGATAATTGGACAGCAAATGATGGAATGTGAATTGACACAGGTGCTAAAATATGGTTACTAAATGAGTCCTTTTCTTGTACTGGGCATGGGTGTATTGAGAGTGCATAAGTTTTTTATGTGGTGATATCAGTGGATGCTACTGCTATTATACTAAAATGAGAAGATATTACCACTGAATTAATCTCCAAGATGTTGATGTTTGAAACACCAAATGGTAATTTTCACTGGGAGGATTGCTCTTTTTTTTTTTTTAATTTTAAATGTATTTAGTATGTGATAACTTGGAAAATAACTCACCCAGATATTTACAGATCTGGTTTTACAAATTTATTCTGCTTTACTAGTAAATTATTACTTAGCTTTGTAGTACTATTAATTTCGGTAAGATAAGAATAATAGTTTTAAGTGTATAATAATTTATATACAGTATTAACTCTTTATAGAACAAAATCTTGCAGGTTTTACTTAGGAAAAAAACTTTTATTTTAGAAAATGGTGTGCTCTTTTGGTAATCAGTTTGGCCGGAGCTGACATTGTGTGCTTGTGTATTGGCTAAGCCACAAAGAATGAACTTCTTTGGAATGAAGCTTTTAATCTGATAATTTATGTGTCTTTACTATATGAAATGTCTTGAAGTGCAAATTTATTATTTATAATATACATTATGAAGAAACAAAAGAGATATTATGGCAGAAACCCTAAAGGCTTTTGTATAGTTAGAATTGCCTTGAAGTAGGATTTTATTTGGGCCTTACACGTATTTTTTGTTTTTTTTTCTTCTGTCTCTTTAAGCCACTGTTTATAGGGATTTAATTACAGTAGAGTCTGTTATTAACACTCTTCAATGTTTCTTCTTTTCCACCTGATTCAACCTTTAAAACAAGTGTAAATCACCAATTTCTTGGAAACTGTTAACCTTTTCCAGAGTTATGATAAAATCTAGTAAGGCCTTTACTAAAACAGACTATTTGAAATTAGAGGAATAGATAACGCCTAGAGGTTGATTGTATATATTTAATGAAGAATTAGCAGAGGATCTATTAATATGAAAGGCTTTGTTTTAAATTTTGCCAAACTAAGTAAGAACCAAAGGAATTAGGAAAACATTTCTTACACTGTTTCAAATTTGTGTTTATGAATCTTTTCCAAAAAGCAGTAAACAAATGTATTCTATTGCAGAATAATTGTGGCATATATGGGAACTAGCCACATGTGATTTTCTTGTAGGTAATTTTTCATTTAATAGAAGTTGTGTAATATTTTAGTCAGATGTTCCAATAGATAAAAACCATAAAGAGTTTTAAACATTTAAAGATGGTACATTATTTAAAGGTATTTACCATTGATATTAAATCAATACGGCACTTCATATCCTTTTGGATAAAAAACTTAGAGAACTGAAATAGCTGAAATATTAAGCATTTTACTTATGCTGACATTAGCCCAAAACACTTGCCATGTCACTACAAAGTTTTATGATAGCAAAATGATATTATGTTATATTTTGGAGCCAGCTTAGAATTAGGTGAGTTGTACTAAACTTGATGTGGTATAACCTGGGTTTCAACAGGTTTTTTTTGTGATGATATCATTTAGTGCCCATCAGAAATGTACCCATTGGTGAATTATTCTGAGGGTGTGTGTAAATACATATGCATTATACATATGTGTGTATTGTTGGAAAGTGTTCAAGGAACAAATGGTAGCATTGGAAAGGTGAGTGATATTAAGTTAACTGCTTATATTGATATAGTAAATATAATATAAACATTTGCTTAGAATTCTGTGTAGATATGAGCTAGATAATTGTACCTGCTTTATCTTAATTTCTGTCTGCTTTCCTACTTAAACTTCATGATCTTGATTTTTTTTTTTTTTTTTTTTAATTTAAAGGCAGAGTGACAGATAGGAGGGTACAGAGATCTTTCATCTACTGGTTTATTCGACAAATGGTTGCAATGGCCTGGGCTGGGCCAGGCTGAAGCCAGGAGCCTGGAGCTGTATCCAGGTCTCTAATATGGGTTGCTGGGGGCCCATTTACTTGGGCCATATGTTGTTGCTTTCCCAGGTAGATTAGCAATGAGCTGGATCACAAGTGAAGTAGTTGTGATGCGAACCAGCACTCTGATATGGGATGCCACTGTTGCAGGTGGTGGCTTAACTAGCTGCCCCACAACACTGGCCCCTTGAATTGTATTTTTTAAACACAATATGCTGTCATGCCTAAAATACTACCTGTCTGTGAAGAACTTCCCCGGAAATCCATCATTTCCAGCCCCCAAAGCCTCATTTATACTAAACTCCCCCAATGTTCCCTCTCTGTAGATTGTCTCTACTTGGCAATCTATTTAACTGTTTTTCTTCATGTGTGATTAGTTGTTTATTTTTAATGTCCCCTGTTACATGAGGGGAATTCAGAATGTTTGTGGAAGAACTGGAGCTAAAAAGTAAGTCTGTTTTGGTACAAAAAGTTTCTGAAGTCTATACATTATATTTCATAGCATGCATGTCCCATGAACTTTAAAAAAAACCCTGGGGAGAATCTTCTACTTTATTTTGTATACCCAGTTCAGTGCTGATGAGAGTTGCTCAATAAATGTGGCTGAGTCATTGGAGTCTCATATTTTTGTTTCCTGTGAATTTATGCATTTGAGATCATTAGATGTGTTACAAAAATAAATTGAAAAAGTTTGGGGCAAGTAAATTATTACAACCTAATTTTTTTTCAAAAATGCCAAAATTGGCCTCTTGTTGACATATTTTGTTTCCGCAGGCTTGAGATATAACTTAGTTCAGGCCTAAAATTATCTTGGATGCTGCTGGACTATTTGGATGTGTGTGGCCTCTGAGCTGTGCAGTGTATCTGGAGACCCTTGTTATCTCTTTGTCTTTTTTGACATAGGAAGCTCCAAATAGCAATTTATATCTCTGGCTATTTTTCAGTCTTTAGGTTCTTTGATAAATTTCTCTTCTCTGCCTGAGCAGTTCTTCCACATAGTGCAAATGGTAAGGAAGTGAGTAAGGATATAGAAGTTGAATTGATAAGCGTAAAAGGCAGCAGGTTCCATAATTTAATGCTATAAGATGGTGACTGAGAAATGCCTAAAGGGAAGGGATAACACTCTGGGTTCTTCTGTGGGGTTAATTTGAGCTTGACTGGTCTTAACCAAGTTTGGAGGAAGGGTCAGT